TGATGGCTTTTTTTTTAAGCACAATAAACGATCTTTCATTTGGCCTGCTGTGCAGCTGAATGAGGCACAGTTCTTAGAAACCTACCCTCACTAGCCAAATAATGGCCATGCCTGCCCCTGAGAAAGTGGACAAGGGGAGGTTTTAAAATTCACCTCAGGGGCTGGCACTGTGGTGTAGCAGGCATCCCTTATGGGCGCTGGTTCGTGCCCTGCTGTTTCTCTTCCAATCCATTGCTCTGCTATGGCCTGGGAAAACAGTAAAAGTTGTCTAAGTGCTTGGGCCCCTGCACCATGTGGGAGACCCGGAAGAGGATTTTGGCTCTTGGCTTCGAATCAGTCCCATTCCGGCCACTGTGGCCATTGTGATCAGTGAACCAGCAGATGGAAGACCTTTCTCTCTATCTAAACTCTCTCTCTCAAATAAAAAGTAAAAACCTCTTTAAAAAATTTCTAAAAATTCACCATCAGCCCTGCACCCTCTAATTCATTCTCAGACCACTGGGCTTCCCTTCTGGCAGAGCTGGGAGAGGTGTCTTTCCAATAGGTTCGACATAACAGTGACTAGAGAAACATCCAAGTTTTTCTTGGGGAAAAAATGTAAAAAAAGAATTCCGCATAGCTCCAGATGGCTTTGTAAATTAAATTAAACCACAACTGGCCCAGGAACTTTCCCCATCATAATTACATTATTGATCATTAACATTTAAAGAGGCTGCAAACAGAAGACTGGACATTATAATAAATTATCATTGTCCCTAGGCAGGTTCCATGAATCAAGTGCCCCTGGAGCCTTCTGAGACTGTCTGATGCTGTAATTCAAAGGGAAGATGTTGTTTTGCTCTTTAGTTCATGGGGTACAGTGAGGGCAGGAGTGAGGGAAAGTACATATGCACACAAAAAATCTGCAATATGGATATCTGGCCCATAGAACTAAAAATAAAATTCTGTTACAACTTCCCTAGCTCCCAAGGCCCCCTTTTCTGATTCATGTTTGGTCTTCCTCTTAACATGAATCACAGACCCTTCAGGGCCTCCCATCTCCCACTACACCTTGAAGGGCAAGCCAGCCTGAGCTACCTGCACCTCCCCTGACATGCCAGGCTCTGAGGCTTCAGTAATAACAGCAACAACAACAATTTATTAAGTGCTTAACCCATGCCCTTTGTCATGCCAAGAGCATATTCATTCAGTACAGTATCAATATTGTTGTCCCCACTTTGCAGATGACACAGACATAGCTCAGAGGAAGATAACTTGCTCAGTATCACACAGCCAATCACAGCAGAGGCCAAGTTTAGTCCAGAAATCTGTGCGACTTCTAGAACCCAAACGCTTTGCAGCTCCTTTCCCCACCACGGCCTTCCTGACCTTCTTGGTTGTCTGGGACAGTATTCATGGCTCAGCACAGAAACCCTCCCTCAGCAAGCCTTCCTCACAGCCCCTCCACCTCCCAGCTGGTTGCGTGCCTCTCCCCTGCTGTTCCATGGCACCCCTGGCTAATCCTGTACAGCACTCTTTGAAACGACTTTGTGCCTACTCAGCTGCCTTCCTGACAGGTCTGGGGTACCCTGGAAAAGAGGCAACATGGACTGCTGTGTTCCTGGTATCTGGCTCAGGGGAATCTTGTTGAATAAATGAACACAGATACATAGATGTAAATTTGAGTGTGCACAGATGTGACTTTAAACATTCACATCTTAGGAGACTCAGCTTCAGCTTCTGAGAACACGAACATGCTAGGAGCAAGAGCAAGAGTTTTATCTGCTATGGATGGTATAGGGCAGCAAGTGTGACCCAAATTGACCCAACCCATCACAAGATTTCCTATATATGTCACGCATGGAAGTTGGCCCCTGAGGCCAAAGATGACTCCCTCTTCAAACAGCAGACTCAAGTGCTCAGGGGACCTTGGCACTGAATGCTGAATAGTCACATCCTCTGCATATTTCACAACAGGTGCTAGAGGTCATCTGCATTACCACAATTTGCCGTCACCAGAAAGTCTTTCAGTATTTAGGGTGTGGTAAATGTCTCAGAGAAGTGAAGAATACAGCTGAAAATTGGTCCAACCTGGAAGCCCTGGGTGGCAGAGTGACCCAGATACCACCAAGAAAAAAGAAGTCAACATTACTGATTGTCTCACTTAGATATGTAGCAGGCTCCTCATCTAACTAAGTCCCTTAAAGCACTAGAGAGTAAGGAGGGGCAGCAGGAGACTTATGGAATTGGGAGGCACCCTGATGAGGCTTAGGAGGCTGCACTATGACCTAGCAGGTAAAGCCGCCACCTGCAGTGCTGGCATTCCATATGGCAACCAAGCTCAAGTCCTGGCTGCTCCATTTCCAATCCAGCTCTCTGCTATGGCCTGAGAGGCAGAAGAAAATGACCCAAGTCCTTGGACCTTGCACACGCATGGAAACCTGGAAGAAGATCCAGCTCCTGGCTTCAGAACGGCAACAGCTCTAGCTGTTGAAGGCCATTTGGGGAGTGAACTAGCGGATGGAATCAATCCATCAATCAATCAATCCCCCCCCCCTTTCTCCTCTCTCCCTCTGCCTCTCTGTAACTCTGCCTTTCAAATAAATGGATAACTCTTAAAAAAAAAAAAAAAATGAGACCCAAAGGAAAAACTTAGGTAAAAAAAAAAAGTGCTTAGTGTGCGCTACCTGTGAAGAATGATGCTGGCTGTGAGAAGAGAGGGGAGGTGTATCAACTGGTACACCCTACTGTGCCAAGGACCCAGAATCACATGAAAACCAAACTTGAAACTCAGTCTATACTGGGGTCTTTGCCAATCAGGGTTGGTGCTAAAAACTGAAAGAACCAGAAATAAAGTTAATTTTTAAGGAAATCATGAAAGAAGAATTCCCAAAGTTGAAAATCTGGACAAGTCCTAAGTGGGGTGATGAGCAAGGGTTCTGAGGCCATAAGATGCGGTGATTAGGCCCCTCAAGTCTTTCCTCCTTGTGAACTGAGATGAGCTAGTGTGTAGGGAACTAAGAGTACTGGTTCAGGATTTACACCTTTCTCTCCATCCAGCCTTAGTGGGAGGCTGACTCATGTACCCAAAGGGAGGTAAAATGAAATTAGAAAAGTAATCCTCCATTTGAGATCATCAGAAACAGAAATATGCAGGCCTATACCCAAGAAAGAAGCAGCTACAGAACAATGGAAGGCACTGCCTCACCCTGGGTATCACTCCAGGCATTCTGCTGGAGGACTGCCCTTTAGGAAAGATGGGCATGAAAAGAGACCTACATTTCTGTGATAAATAGATAGAGAGCTGGAAACTGCAGCTGTAGAGAATAAATGGCTGCCTTTGTGGAGAAAGTAGAGCCCACACTCAAGGAGGCATAGAGATTCAGAGGAATTCAGCAACCAGTACCACCTAGAACATACCGGCCCATCAACAGAACTGCAATAGAAAGTGAGTCCCTGAGGGCACAGCAGATGGCAGAGGGCTAGTCATACTCAGCAGGAGTATGGAGCAGACCAGTGCAAGAGGCTTCTAGGTGAACAGAACCACAGATCTGTAGCAGGGATGCAAAAATGGAGCAGTGGTCTGGCCTAAAGCGCTGGACTGGCCCACATGGGCTCTCAGAGAATGAGAAGTGAGCAGCTGAAGTCCTCCACTGGGTACATTTAGTGATAGGAAACATGACTAATCGAGGATTATATCCTCAGTCAAGTATGGGTATCTGAATCAAATAGAATACATAGGAGGAGGCTATCATTTAAAAAAATTCCCTGCCATTCAGTCTGAAAGAGCTCAGAAATTAACAAGATTCCCAAGGCAAGAGCCTTGACCATCTTGTTCACTGGGTCCTCCATGCTGGTACCATCGTATCAACAGGCATTTGATATTGATCATGAGGAAAGATAAGCTACCAATGGAATTAGGGTCTTTACTCACCAGATGCCAACACTTGGAACACTTGAGTTACATACATATTATTTTTAATTCTGTGAACAAATGACTATGACACTATTATGAGTCATATATCAAAATATTGGCAATAACAATGTTTATAAGTTGAGAAATTAAAAATTACAAGTTAAAATCAGTGACACTAAACCTCAAGTATATTTCAAACATAAAACCATGTGCACAAAAACATCAAGTAAAAATAAAATATGGGCAAAATACATTTCACATACATCAGCATTATAATGAAAATTCAGAGTAAATGAAATTTGTGTTAAAGTACTACTATTAAATAATCACTTAAAAATAAAATTTAAAAATTATTTTAAAAAGTAAAGAATATCAAATATATTATTGCTGAGTTATCAGCACATTTCTCTTTAAGAGAGATTTGGAAAATTTGGAATCAGACAATTATAAATAAACTCCAAATATTTCCCTCTGGTTCCTTTAACTCCTTGCAACTGACTGAAATCTTTCAAAAAATGTGTGGCCATTCCACCCCACCACAACTCCATCAACCTAGAACAACAATTTTTATGTTAGTTGAAGATATGGTTTATATTTGAAAAGAACATCTCCAGTTTATTTTGATCCTTTTTCACTTAATTTAATATAGATATAGAGTTCCTTTGCAGAGTCCCTGTATCAATACCAGTATCTCTGGGTGAATGTTCTCCTTGTTGACAAAGCCTTTGAACTACAGGAAGAATTATTCTTGCAAGAAAAAACTTTATTTCTACTTAAGGGCCTCAAACAAAATAGGTGTTCAACATATATTAGTTATTCCTTATTATTATTGTATCAGTATTTTCTGAATTGATGTTACTTTATGGCAGTACACATACATATAGAAATTAATAATCTTCATATAATCTAGGAGATAATCCTCAAATCCCACTTTAGAATCGTACCTCAATCTTTTAAATAAGACAGAGCCTAGTTTAGCTTTCATCACCTCTCCTTGTCTGCCTTTTAGTGAAGATGTAAAAAGACAGTTAAGTGTTCATCAGACCCTGAGTGAAAGAGAGATTTTCTATATTTAGAAATTATTCTAGGTGATAAGTCACAGGAAAATTATGAAGCAGATCTTAGAGGACTTGGAAGAGTGCTCAGTTTATCAATCTCAACAGAAGTTTACTGAACACCTCCTACATGTAAAACAAGGATGCACCTCTTGGGGGTACAGCATCAGCTGGGTCTCTCAAGGAGATGAGAAATAGCAGCAAACATCACAGGTAAACACAATAGTAAAGCCCGTCACAGGCTGACTCATGAACCATGATTGTCAAGTGAGTGGGCCACAGAATGAGACCCAAAGGAGTCCAAGACATCTCTGGAGGCCAAGGGACTCTGTAGGACTTGGAAGTGTAAGGAAGTTTGGCATCAAATTCTGTTTAGGAGTTGGGCCATCTTGGAGCAGGACTGGCCTTCTTTGCACACAAATATGTATACTGCCATGTTACGGGGCAGTAAACAGCTGACTGACTACAGGGAAAGGCTCAGGAAGAGAGGAGTGGAAAGCAATCCAAATGGTTTGCTGTAAGAATCTTCTACTTCTTTGGTCTCAAGTTAGGGCTTAACAGTCGCCAGGTAGGGTGGAGAAGTCTCTGCCCAGGTGTAGAGAGTGGCCTCTTTCTGACACTGTAAAGCAGCAGAGGCACTCACCTGGAGCCAGCGATGAGCTGACTCCCAGCCTTCAAAGGGACTCTGGCCATAGCAATGTAGTCAGAGTGGAAACCAAGTCACTTCAACAGCACCCTCTGGGCTCACTGCACAAAAGGATTCTGATCTGGGAAATCACAACACTCAGCATCCCCCTGCAGGAAAGCCAGCCACAATCCCTGCCCTGGCACCTGCCCTCGGCAGACAGCTCACCCACAGCTCTAGGAGAAAACCCAGTGCTATTTGTTTTGGTCCCTGTGCCTGAGACTGAGGCACAGGTTGGTTTGTGGCTGACTTTATTCTGATAAGAGAGATACTGCTGAGTCATGGGTACAGTCTTCAGAACAACTCCCCAAATGGGACATTTGTTTACATAATCCCTGTTGGCTTGGAGAACAGCAGGTATGCCTAAAGAGAGGTGGGAGACTTTGACATGTGCTCCTGGCCCAATGGGAACAGAAAGCTTTTCCTGACAATGACTGAGCACACTACCTACCTACCTAAGTGATAACAAATATCCGTGCTAGTGAAGAGACTTCAGGGTTGCCCACCTCCTCTTCCTGCCTGGTACACTTCCAGAATGGCTCAGTGAGCATCTGCCCAGCAGGACTCTCAGCAGTGGAAATAAGCAAGCAACACGGCAGACTCTGTCAGTGTACAAGCAGAAGAGGAGGCAGGGGAGACGAACTGACTGACATTGTCCAGCCATCCATGTGGAGTCTCTCATCAAGGAGGGGGACACCTGACTGACGCTCAAGTGGTGAGAAAACAGAAAGTTTCAAAGGCAGTGCTGCAAAAAAAGTGGTGGGGAGGGGAGGCGGACAGCATGCCTCGGCATAGCTCATGAAATAAAGAATTCTCGTTTGCGGCCAAAAATCCCCTTGATCTAAGCTCCAATTCCTGTTCTTGGCTCATTTCTTGGAGCACCTCCTCCACATGACAGTATAAATCTTTTCCTAATAAGCTCTGTATATCTGCAGCCCAACTGCCTTTGGGAACTAAGGAAGTTGCTGTTTTCCAATATCCTGGCACTTCCAACATGAATATAAACTTAGACAAAACATGAATTCCATCATTTATCTGTTCATCGTGTCTCCTGGAGAAGAAGCAAACTCCCAGCCTCTCGTACTCATGTACCTCTTTCAGATGTGGTGACACAGCCTGAAGTGCTGGAAATCTGCCACACGGCAGGAACGGCGGGTGGGAGGTTCACTTTGCTTCTGTGGACAGCACCAGGTTTGCAGTCTGGAAGCAGAGAACATGCAGCTGTGCCACTTCCTCCTTCAAATGGCTCCTACTCATTCAGTACCACACTCTGAACTAAAGCAACCCTCCAGGAGGAACTGGCTCCCCAGCAGAGAATCACACAGGCATGTAACTGTAATCAAAGGGAGAGACTAAGAATTCCATGAGAACAAAGACTGAGGGATCTCATCTGAGTGATGAAGACAGTCACTGAGCTGGACAAAACTTGGACATGTAAGGAGGAGAGGAGAAGCAGCCTAAGTAGCAGAGATGGCTTGAGCAAAGGCTCGGGGATGGAAAAGCTGGGGCAGGCTCTGGGACTGGCTTTGCTGCGGTTTTCCCGGAGGCTAGGGATGAGAAAGTAAAGAGTAAGATCAAACTGTAACAGCTGGAGGTCACGTCTCCAGTTCTCACTTCCCTTGCATTGTTCCCCTCTTCTGTTTCCTTCCTTTCATTCCCTTTCAGTTGTTCCCTTTCTCCTCAAGAAAACTTCTACCCATCTATACCTCCATCCTTCCAAACAGCACAGATGACATGTGGATGCGGTATTAGCACAGCAATGTCTGCTACTCTGGGGAGGAAAGAGCCCAGATGTTCTCTCTAAGAGGACATAGCTCACTGCCACAGAGTGAAAAGAGAAACCCAGGGCACTGGCTCAAAAATCAGACAAGCCTCACCATGACAGTAAGAAATGCCATGGCTCACAGAGATGCCTTCCTGTTTGGCAGACATAAGGGGAAACTGCTGATGGGAGAGGCACCATATGGAAGTGGTTAGAATATCCACTCTGCAGTCAAGTCTGAATTTTAATCTGGACTCTACCTCCTATCAACAGTCATGTACCATCAGCTTTTGAATGGACAAGAGAATAGATCCCACCTCATAGTGCAATAAGGATTAAATGAGAAAATATCCATGAGCTCACCATGGTAACACTCCGTAAATGTTAGCTTTTTATCATCTTCCTAATGACAAGGGACTAAGATCAGGAAAGGTTAACAACCAAGCCAAGAAAACCAAGAGAACGTAAGAGGGCACTAATGTAATGGAAAGAACTCAGGTGTTAGAGTCAGAGCAGAGCTGGAACCTTGACTTGCTAGCCATGGGACTGTGGGCAACTTGAGATGATCCAGCCTCAGTCCCCTCAACTGAAAAATGGAGCGACAACAACATCTCTATTTGTATCTGGGGATGTAAATAGTCCTTCCATTTTTTGGAAAGTTCTTGTGAAAATTATAGATAATGTAAAGTTTCTTCCATGGGAGATCCTCAATAAAAATGAGAACACTTAAGCTCTGTCTTTAAGCTTTTCGTTTTGCCTGGGGCCCATGTCTAGAGGCTCTTTCTGGAGGTGGGTTCTGCCAGCAATACCAGTGGATACTTCCCCTTCACCACCACCATCTTCCAGGCACTATCATGGATTACCTTCCTGTGGTGGTCACCCTGGAGCTATATAGAGCTAACTAGGTTCAATGAGCATGTTGACAACTCTGATCCCATACCAGAATGTCCCATAAATTTAGAAGTACTAAAAACAATGTCATTGTTTGCTTTCTTTTTTATTGTAATCAAGAGACTGATTCTCCAAGAGAGTTTAACTCTTAAAATCATAGCCATACAACACTCTCTACTGAGAGCATAAACTTAACAAAGGGTACAATAAAAGAACTATTCAAACAGTCCTGGAGAGGGTTGGAATAAGTAGCAGTAGGAGTTACAGCAGCATTAATACCCACCTTCAATTCTTACTATAAGCACTGGGCTGGATGTGGAGCACCCAGCACACATTTTCTTCTCTTGTGGATCATAAGCTAAAAGCAATGAAGTGATTTGTTCATGCTCACAAACCTAGAAAATGGCAGATCTATAAAACCTGTGCAATCCAACCTCAGGATCTGAGTACTTAATCACTCTGCTAGCACAGAAAACAGCAGTCTGAGGCATGAGCTAAAAATGGAGGCAACACAGCTAGTGGCTCCATGGATGTGGAGCTCACAACAGTTTCACAAAACAAGAACAAACAACACAGGAGAAGTGGGACCCAGGGGGCACACTGATGACGGGATGAGCATTTGGCTTTCATTCATTCACCCATCACAGTGGGCCTGCTTAGGAACCGGCAGAGCATTATTAGCAATTCTCACTCCACTTCTAGACTCATAAAGCTGACGATTCCACGTGGACAAGGATGCTGACTTCCATCTCCAGTGCTGAGCAAGCACAGTGCCCGGTGACAGGGATCATGAGGAAAAGCTTGTTGAATGATGGGTGACCACATGAATGAGCCAACAGATTATAATAGCAAATGACTGACCTTTCCATCTCTTTCCATCCCTCCCACCTCCCATGACTTGAGAATGTTGCCAACACAAAACGGAAGAGAAGAACTTTAGCATCACTGAGCCCAAGCCTATGAGATGCCCCAAACAAGAAATGGCATCACACAATCAGCCTAATTTCAATCAACCATCCACACTGAGAACAGCTACCTAATGACAGACATAGTATCAGTCTCTTTTTGCCTATTCAGACAGTTTATAGAAGAAAAGACTTCCATAAGCAAATGCCGGTGATAACCCAAGCAAAAATTCCTGGCCACAGTCACTTCAGACAGCAGTGAGGCCTTTGATGGTGTAACTATATAAAACGAAGTTATTTTCTCTATATGCATTTTGACTTTCATGAAAATTTTCTCCAGCTAAGTTATTCTTCAGCTTATCAAATCATGCATTGACACATCTCGTTACTGCGTAAATGTGGCCTGGCATCAAAGAGAAAAATCTGTGCTTAAGAGCTGTGGAAATCATACAGCCTCCAAGATAGCTGCCCTCTCCTCTCCCTAAAAAGGGGAAATGTAGGACTTAAGAGCTTTGAAGGTGAGGAAAGAAGGGCATCAAGGAGGAAAAGTGCTCTCTGCAAGTCTAGTAGCCTCCAGCTCTCCTCACTGATGGAGGGCTCCATAATCAGTAGAAGGCAGATGTCAGTGTCTGATGAATGGACTTGATGGTGACCCGGACTGCCCTAGCACAGAACAGCCTGTTTTGAACTCATAGCCTGGGTAAATCAAGTTTATTATCAGTGGAGGATGAGGAGGGGAGGAAACTAGATAGACAGGAAGTGGCCCAACCCACCTGGCTAGGTTACACAAACCTTTCCAACTTTGGCTATGTGGCGATTTCCAAAGATACCAACACTTCCATGAAATGTCTGCTGAAATCAAATGCAGGTCAGAAATAAAGACTGATGGACAGGGTGGAGCAGCAGGGAGCGGGAGGGAAGAAATGGGAAACAAGATAAATGGGGGAGAAAAACAGGAAAGAAAGGTAATGTATTGGTTTATTTTTATCTACCCAATATTAATTTCTACTTTTTATTATTTTTTAAATGTATATTTACTTGAAAGGCAGAGAGAGAGAGACAGACAGATAAACAGATCTTTTATCTACTGCCTCACTCCTCAAATGACTGCAATAACTGGAGCTGGGCCACACCAAAGCTAGGGGTCATGAACACAATCCAGATCTAACATGGGCAGCTGAGGCCCAGGGATTTGAGCCATTACCTGCTGCTGCCCAGGTGGGCATTATCAGGAAGCTGGAATCAGAAGTGGAACTCATACTCGGATTCAGGAACTCCAATAGGGAATGTAGACATCCCAAGCGGTATCTTCACCAGGATTCTGATGCCTACCCTATCCAGTATTAATACAAATATAGTACACACTATATTCCAGGTACTGTTCTTAGAACTTTATAAGTATCAACTCTCACTTAATCCTCATTATTTTTAGATAAGAGGAAAGCTAAGCATGGGAAGAGTTAACAATGACCTACCAGCTGGCCAGCATGTGACAGGGCTGGGATTTGAACCCAGGCAGCCTTGTGGCATTCTATGCACTTAACCACCTCTCAGAGGACTCTTATACCCTGTCATATATGGGTATCCAAGCCATGAGTATTAGCATCTCATGAAACAGCCCTAAAAATACTCAAGAGCTAGTTAATAAATGTTCACAGATCTTCAATGACTATTTTTTTGAAATATTAGACATTTTCTTATGCTGGAATATAAAGCTTGGAAAAGAAGAGATGTTTTCTCTCTATAAAATAAAAACAAAACATAAAATAAGAATAGTAGCTCTTGGGCCAACTAAAAGCAAAAGAAGATGGGGCCTAAGTGACATAGACATCCCATATGAGCGCCAGTTCCAATCCTGGCTTCCCACTTCTGATTTAGCTCCTTGCTATTCTGCCTGGGAAAGCAACAGAAGGCAGCACAAATTGGGCCTCTGCCACCCACATGGGAGGCATAGATGGAGTTCCTGGATCCTAGCTTTGGCCTGGTTTAGCCCCAGTCAGTGTAGTCATTTAGGGAATGAGCCAGTGGACAGAGGTCTCCTTCTCTCTCTGTCTCTCCCTCCCATTCTATAACTTTGCCTTTCAAATAAATGAAATACATCTTTTTTTTAAAAAAAAAAAAGGGGGGGGGGGATGGACAAGAACCAAGATTTGGCCAACTGTCCCAAAAGTCCCCACCAGTCACTCATATTGTCAGTCACCAGTGGCTGGGGGACAAGAGGTTCAGATGAACTACTGGCAGAAACCAGCTTTGGGTACAAAGGTTGTCACATGAACCAAGATGGCTTGGGATGGAAAGTACCACCAAGATAACTGGCTTGGGATGGAATCAAGAATCAGCAGCCATGTGCATTCTGGTCCTTCCTGTCCCTTGGGTCTTGTTTACCAGTCTGGCTCATCGCAGAGTCACATTTCTATTATGGAAAATCTGTTCCCCCATCTCTCACAGCTTTACTTCTCTTCATTCCCCCTCTCACCCAGTTCACTGGACAGCCCATCCCAGTTGCAGATTTGCCGTCCAGCCCCATGTGACATCACCTTGACATGTTCTCAGCTCCAGGCTATTCTGAAATCCCTGGCTATGAAGAGTGAGTCTTCCATTGGGAAAATGAAGGCAGTCACATAGGCTCTCCCCTTGATGCATTTTCCTGAAAGTGTGCTATGTTCTGAAATGGTTGGGGCACAAGAGGCCTGGGCAAAGCTCTTGGTGACATCCATCTTCTGATCATTCCATCCTTTGTGAGCTTGCTGTCAAAGAAAGAAAGCCACGGACAGTATCACTGTTCTGAGTTCTCATTCTGCTGTAGCTGTGGACTTTTCTTCCACTGGTTCCTCTCTGACCTTGCTTTTGAAAATCCTCCTCCCACCTGAGTTCTTCCCGCCTTTGTTCCTTGGCCACGTGCCTGCCTGATTAGGCTTTCTCTGTGTCCTGTTGGTGTGCTTCATTTACTGCTTTCATCTTCCATGGGTCAGGGATGACAATTTTCTGTGCTTCAAAAATCACAATGGAAAGAATTCTCTGGTACACACTGAACCATATGTCAGGAAGTTGCCTTCCAAGGCCTGCCGAAGTCCAGAAAAGTGCCCATATAGAAGTAAATGCCAGTTTGGGCTCTGGCTCCCAGCTGCTGTTGACTTTGTGGGAGTACTATATCATAAAGTCTATTTACAAATAAACAGCTTGCTGCAGCTAAGTTGCTTGGTTACAGAGGAAAAATGCACCTGTGGAAATTTGCAAGGTCTACTGAGCAGAAGACAGAGCCCAAAGAGAAACCCTCTATTTTACCTGAAGCCACTATCTTCCTCTGAGAACGTGAAGGGACAATGCAGGTGGTCCCCACTGTGGTCTCTCTCAGACTCCTGCAGACAAGTGCTAACTCGTCTGCAAAGAGGCAGCAGTGGAAGCATACGAGGGCGTTTCCTTACACAGACGAGAGGTCAGTGGTGGGGACTGTGACAAGGGTCCCTCCAGAGCAGCTATGGTGCAGGGAGCCATGGAAAGTAATCACCTGCGTGTGTTCCACTTTCTGGGCAGGCTGTATCTCCACAGCAGGGCACTTTCAGTGCCTCTAGAAAGCAGCTGGCTATTGAAAACGAAATCACCTGCCCTGTGCCCTACTCTGGGACTGTGTTAGGACTAAACTCCAAGACCACGGCAACCAGCTGTGTGGTTTTCATTTGCTCTGTGAGCCAGAAAAGGGCCAGGATATCATAACACCTTCTGGCCCAGATATCCCTCCCTGCATTGAAGAGAATTCACTGCATTTATTTTGAAGGGAAAGACCATAATAGTTGGTATGAATACAATAATGTTGTAGGAAAGCCTTGTTTGCATCTAATATCTGAGTAATTGCATTGCTAGAGTCTGCAGGGCCAAATAAATCCTTGAGAGTGCCCTCATCTCTGCATACTATAGGGGGTTCTCAGAGAGTGCAAACACAAATACAATGCCATCTGCATTAATTTTAAAACAGCTCTAATTTACATTGTTCTTATAATGAAAAGGGAATGTTTCACATTTCCCAGGAATCACTGTATATTCAGACCCCTTAATACCCACTAAGGTGAATGGGATGGAACTTGGCACTTTATGCTCTGGGGTCATCAGCTGAGAAGTCACCACCTCTGAAAACTGGTCAACCTATCTTTCCCAGTCCATAGCCCATGATGCTCCTGCAGTACAGGATACCCTGAATAGAGCCTAAGGGCAAGCTTGCCCAAGGCAAACCATGGCTTCCTCCTGCCACAGGGGAAAAATAAGCTAATGTGTATACTTTTCACAAATTAACACTTTATTCCCATATATTTTACCTAAATATTGCCTAACGACTAAGACCTAGGGTCAACTTAACAAATGACTAAGTAGCATCAACTTCTTGCAGAAAAGGGATGTTTTCACTACAGCAACTCAAGCCAATGTGCTAACGAAGCAGAACATGATAGGTTTATCTGTGTATATACGGCTATCACATGGGCCACACAGGCAGAGCAGAGCTGGGCTCCAGAAAGGGTCAGACACTATCTCAGCCTCTTTCTGCACATCTTCACTTTCCTCCTTTCTTCTAAACCGAGCTGTTTGGCTGCTTAGTCCACAGAGTGTAAGATAACTTCCCAGATTTCCCAGGATTACATGTTAACTCCCCCGCTAAATAAAGAGACTGCTTCTCTCATCATAGTCTCAAATATTATACCAGGGAAAGAATACCTGACGGGCATAGCTTGGATCTAGGTTCCATCCTCATCTAATAAACTAAGGGGGTGAGGGGATGGGGGAGGGGAGACAATGCTACATGGCATAAAACAGCCGCAAGAACTCCATACTGTAACCTAAGCACAAGAGCAAGACAGTCCCAAGGGAGGGAGGTGGTAGTAAGCAGGGTGCCTCTGTCCCAAAAGGAAGACACTGCATGGGGTCATGGAGCACGCAAAGTATCAGTGCCCAGCTGTCCCAGCATGTTCCCTAAAATCTTCATGGACTCAGGCTACACACCACCAGGATCCAGTAAGGAAATGCTGAGAAATGTGAACAGCTCCTCTGGAAACACTAGAAGCATCTTCCCCTAGACTACATAGGAAAAGAGAAGTGAATATTTTTACAATATCTCATTTAATCCTCCAAGACAATGTGACAGGTTGTTTTGCAGATTAGAATGCCGAGGCTCAAAGAGGTTAAGGAGACGACCCAAGGTCACCTAGCTAGTAAATGGTAGAGCAAATCTCAAACCCATATCCAACTCCAAAATCGTTTCCATACTCCATTCACCCCTCTCTGTGTCGCTTCCCAAACAAACTCTGCCCAGAGCTAAGTGTCCCTGATCAACTGAACAGCCCGAGTTGGAGACAAGCTCCTACCCAACAGATGACATCTTCTACACCTGAGATGTCTCCAGCCCTCAGTGGGCAAAGCAGCAATTCAGCCAGCCCTGTGAGGATCCTGGCCACAGCACAAGCTCCCCTGCGTCCCCACTCCCCTCTGCAGGTACAGACCCCAGCTGCTCTGGTTCTAGCATTCAGGATACCCCCCAGGTGGAACAGTTCACCCGAGCTACACCGAGGTTGTTTACAATCCGACTACAATCGATGCCATTTTCCTGTTTTTGTTTTGTTTGTTTTTGTTTTGTTTTTACAGTTCGTTGCTCATCCTAACTGTCAGCAGCAATTGCTTACCATGTGGTATGAAAATCTCTCAGGCTTACGTCAACAGTCTATCGCTGTGAAATTCCTGGCTGTCTTTGGAGTCTCCATAGGCCTCCCTTTTCTCGCCATAGCCTATTGGATTGCTCCGTGCAGCAAGGTACAGACTGCTTAAAGGTGCATGTCGTTTGCGGTTATTTCTTCTCTTCTTAGCATGACCTGAAGACTATTTTGTTCACATCAGCAGCTGATCTGTTCTTATATTTAATGATAATAGTCCTGAGATACTTAGCATAAGCAGAGAACCAAACAAGAGGAAAAATGTGATGACTTTTTAAAATCATTTTTAAAAAGAGAGGAGCAATAAAATGGGAAATTTCAAACACATGAGAGTTCATCTGAAAGGATCAATAACAAAATAGAGAGAAAATGAAGGCACATTTCATCTTCCAATTACTCAATACGCTTAGCATGTCCTCCAACCCATCATACAGTCATTATAATCATGGTAATTTTAACAGCCACCACTCCGTGCTTTCTCTTTGCTAAGTCCTTTTCATGGAGTATCTCATTTCACTCCCTCAAGTACGTGATGTGTACATGCTTCATGAAGTAGGTTCAGACTTGAGAAATACCTGCTGGGTGGTACAGACCAGTGATGACATCGTCTGCTTTCTCTGACCTCTTTGATGGAGTTTGGGCCCACATGGGCAGCTAGTCAGGTTACGAGAAGGAAAAGGCAAGGAAATAGAAGGACTAAAAGGATGCCATGACTGGATTCTTTTCTTGAAAGGGAGTGGCCAAGTGCATGCTGGTGATCGGAGGAGTGAACCCTGCAGGTGCATCACTCTGCTGCCTGATCCACATCCTCAGAGACCAGCCATTTGGCCCAAAGCCACGGAAAATACCAGTGCTCCAGCCTCAGGAAAGAGTTAGTGCATAAAATTACTAAGCTATGCAGAAATTTTGGAATATATTTCAAGAGTTTAAGATTGTCATTAAAGGTTCCAAAGCTGTACTCACCTAGTGATATATTTAAAAAGGAATTAAGCTTAAGTAATCAACATTCAGCAGAAAAAAATGTAACTACAGAAGGATTCATTCCACAAAGAATTTCATCACTAATGAGGTTAATAGAAGTGTCACCAGTGAGCTGACCCTCTTGTCAGCTCCACTTAGAGGGAACTAATGCCAGAATGATGGGCTCAAGACTCCAGGGCTGTTATGGAGGCCACCAAATTAGACAGGCAGTGAACTGACTGCCTCTGAGTGAGTGAGGGGGTCACAGAGAGAGGTCAGGCCTTGAACTCCTGCTTCTATAAAACGGAATTGAAAATGAAAGGCCTCATACTGAATATCTGCAGTAGTCATCTATTAAGGACTTCATTTTTAGAACAGTCTATCATGCCATGGACTTCTAAATCAGAATTTCCAAAAAACACAATGGCACTTCAAACATCTCATGAAAATAATGGAATTAAGCAATAAATTCATTTATGTGCAAAAAAACTTACATCTATACATAGTTGTTTCATAACACATTTACCACGAACGTTTTAAAGACCCTACAGACAAGTAGGTGAAGGCAGTTTATTCCTGTCCCTCATTATGAGATGAAAAAGCCCAGTGAGTACAAAAACTATTGAGAAGGAGAGCTGGGCTGGAGTCCGTGCTTGCTTTTAGGCCCACGTGTTGATGCTGAGATGATCGAGCCTGCACTGGGAGCCAGATCCTTGCCTTTACCGGGGGACTGGGTGGCTCTCTGAGCCCCAAAACTAATTCTAGGCTGTTCAATCATTTAAAAAAACAACTACTTTGTGGAGAAAATGCTGCCAATTTTCACTTTTGCTGCAAAGCTAAATGTGACAGCTTCCAGGAACCTGAGGCTAGCCAGCACCAGCAAACCAGGGTGCCCGTCTGCCTGATGGCGCAAAGAAGGATTCATAAAGAGATAAGATGCCAGCTGCCGGGCAATTCTTTTACTTTTTTAGTAGGCCTGAGAAGAACAATCTTGCAAAATATGCAGATATGATTTTTAAAAAATGAAAAAAGCAGGGAGGAATTCTAGAATGCCCTGGGCCCAGTAAATCAATCCAGGAAGATGGTAACCACCACGGGACATACAGCCAGACTTACAATAGTCTTCTGAGTTCTGGAACACTCATGAGGAAGTGACTGCAGGAAACTCTAGCCAACAACTGGGGTTTCCTCCCTTCTGTTCAGATGTTTGTCTGACTGGCATTTGCTATACCCAGAACTTCCAGTAAAACTAAAAAAGTAAAGTGTTCAAGATAAATATGATCTGATCATTGAACCACCAGCCACCTCCATGCAGTTTCTAGATTCGAAGTCTGACCTCAGTGCAAGAGGGGGCGTTTCAAGGACTGAGGGACAAGCCCTAGTCAATGGCAGGGCATGACTGCCCGTGGCCCTGCTCATTGCGGGCAAGGATTCCCTCATGAAAGTGCTTGTCGAATCTGTTCTGAGGCAGCCAAAAGACACATAAAACAGTCAAGATATTTTTAAGTTTAATTTCACCATTTAGAAAGAAATCTTTTCAAGGCTGGCAGAGATACTACTGGGGTCTACAAAGAGGTCACATCTGCCATGTGACAAAACCAGCCCTCTCGATTGGCTCCTGATGCCCAGAACACCACATCCTCCCAAGAGGAGGGCACCACAGAGAAGTCTGCTAATAGGCTGGGATCCCACTTTCCAAGGGGTCACTGCTTTTGTAGCCTTCTGTATCTGTAATCTCATCAAAAAGGCAAGGCCCCTCCAGGGATCCCAGATTCTAATAACATTATTACACTTCCCTCTAAGGAATCAAACTTCACTATTCTTTTATAAATATATTCAGAAATGTCTCTGCCAAACTGTATCAACTGGCTAATGCCCATCAATGTCTAGTGAATGTTAAAATTTCTGTTCCCAATCTAATGGTACATTTACTTCCTAATAGTTGCTGTAGTAATTTAGGAAGCACTGGAAACATCAAAATTAACCTAATCAGCCTGCCAAAACGATCTCATCACTTCTTTCATACTGCATTCCCAAGACTGTCGATCCTATTTTTACATCATTTTAAGTTTCCAGGAATCCCTAAGAAAAATAGTTCAATACGAATATCATAAGGCTAAAGGGATCAACAGAAGTTCAGCTTACCAGTAAGTTAGCTGAAGAGTGTAACCAAGTCACAGATGTGTACATATAATGACAAATGTAAGCATGGAGCACGGAACAGGTGTGTTGGTGTCAAGAAAAAGAGCAGGATTCTATTAATTATTTTTCATTGTCATCACCAACATCATTGAAGTCAGGCAGTCCACTGGGAGACCACTTAGTTCTCATCCGCAAGGAGGCCTGGTCTTTTCCCAGAAACATCTTTATCCCAGGGTTCCACTGCCAAGGGGTCTTTACGGATGATCATTGTAATTCATAATTTAGACGGCTTGCTTGTCAAAACCTCAGAACTAAAAGAATAAAAGCCATCCTCGGGTGGTTCAAGCAGTATCTCTAAAGCAGGAGGACTGGGGCCAAAGTCAGCACCAAGGAAGTGTGGAAGAACCACAAGTTCTAATTATAAAACTGTGATAGGAGGTGCTGACTTCCTTTACTACCTGTTAGCCTTCACTGCTCATTATCCTTTTTTTTTTTTTTACAGGCAGAGCGGACAGTGAGAGAGAGAGAGACAGAGAGAAAGGTCTTCCTTTGCTGTTGGTTCACCCTCCAATGGCCGCCGCGGCCGGTGCGCTGCGGCGGGCGCACCACGCTGATCCGATGGCAGGAGCCAGGAGCCAGGTGCTTTTCCTGGTCTCCCATGGGGTGCACCTGGGCCATCCTCCACTGCACTCCCTGGCCATAGCAGAGAGCTGGCCTGGAAGAGGGGCAACCAGGACAGAATTCGGCGCCCCAACCGGGACTAGAACCCGGTGTGCCGGCGCTGCAAGGCGGAGGATTAGCCTAGTGAGCCGCGGCGCCTGCCCTCATTATCCTTAAAATTAGTCCGACTCAGGCAGGGAGAACTAGACACAACTTTAGAATTCCACCTGTTACCTCTGTAGTACGTGATCTATCAGTCCTTACTGCCACATAACTGTTGCTTGGAGAAATATCAAAGTGTCAGTCACTTTTCCTTTCTCCACCAGCTCAAACAACAGCATCTAGTGAGGACCACGTGAGGGGTGGAACAGCTTTTGAAGATCTCTGCTTTGCCTTGCCAAAGCCAACAGTTTGAAACAGGGCTCCTTCAAACATGTGGTCAAGGGGCCAAGGAAGAGTGGGCAGTTCCTCCAAAGGCCAGTTTCTCCCACTACTGTCTCTACCACAAAGCCGTACTAAAGAATATCATGATGCGATTTTTGAAGGGCTACCATGGTTGGGGGGTGGGGTCGAATTGTAGCATGAAATACAGCACTGATGCTCTTGGTTACCAGTGCTCCTGCTCCCACGTCCAAAAAGACACTCCAGCACCTCTCGCTCTGCTGGGACAGAACTGAAGAGAGCCAGAAGCTGCTCACTTTTGTGCTCGGCCAAGGGAGCCCTGGCGGTGTTCCTTCCCATCTCTCCATCTAGTTCCTACCTAGTGGTTAGCTTGTGCCTCTCCTCACAAGAAAACCAGCAACTCTGAAGGGAAGGTCCACCGTTATAACCATATGACAAACTCTGCCCTTTCCTTTTCTTTCATTTATAGCCAACCTTGTAAATCCCACTATTATTAAAATCTTTTCAGCCTTCAGGACAAAATATGGATTCACACCATAATGTGAGAACACACTCCCTCCTCCACCCCGATTCTGGAATCCTAGGTTAGACATTTTGAACAAGAATTCTGGGGATAGCATATTAAGACGTCCATCATTAATTTAACCAAAAGCACACACATTTCTTCCCAGAAGGCCACATCCCAAGTTGCCTCCATTCAGCTTACAACTTGCAAACTCAGTCCTGCTGGAGACCACCAGCAGAAATGAGCACGGCACTTGGAAGGGGACTCCGGTGGCACAAGACTAGGAAGGGGTGCAGGAAATATTTTCTTTAGGATGACTCGCACTCACAACCTTAGCCCTATCTTGTCAGGATGTGGGGACCCACAGGCCACCAGGTCCATTAGGTGCTTATGCTTGTGGTTCAGGGACATGAAACAGAATTGTACAAACCAAAAAGAGCAGCTGCCCACTCCCCGAGGGTCCACGCATGCAATTCATTTGAAGCTGATTTAGGAGCACTACTCACACTTGTATATTTCCCAGAATGGTACCCAACAAGTTTGGGGTGAGCCACAGACTGGGATTCTGTAAGCTTGGATTTCCTAAAATGTTCTCAACTCACACGGTCCTTGTAATGATTGAGCTTCTGTAGCCTGTATTCTAGACTCTCCAGTTCTGCACTCAAGGCAGAGCAGACTACGGTCTACAACTCCTGGAGCTCTACCACCTCTTTCCATACCTAAAGCTGTTATCTGACCCACCCGTAATGATTCTCTAGCTTAGAGCTGCTAGAAAACATTAGTTGACTTTTCTCCTTTCTTTTGGCTCATCTGGTGGCTTTGTGAAAGAAGGATGTTTTCCCCAAGAGTAATTTGCTTCAAAAATAATCTTTGCAAATAAAATGGGAAATATCACAAAAAATGAGAAGGAAAATTGACTGGAACTCATCTGACCTTTATCCAAGTTTTGCCACTTAACACACCGAAGCTCAGGAGAACAGGAAGAGAACCTCACTTCCTCAGCTCATGTTCTCTCTGTGACCTGGATCAAGTGGGAGCTGAGCCCAGAGGAAACTTCCATATTACCTCGGGACATTACCAGGGGTGTTTCTTTTTTAAATTAGAATTCTCAGTAAATATGACAATGTTTACTGACTCATCCTGTGCTGGTAGCCAACAACTTAGAGGAGGTAACAAGGAAGCATTAAATTCCTCAAACCAGGTCTGCTGGGGAATCCCCAAGCCACTTTGGGATCAGTGGCAGGCAGATGCCAGCATTCAGATGCCCCATGCAGGTGGGAAGATGGTGAGGGGCACTCCATAGACTCATCCAGGTAGAACCAAGAGGACACCATGTAGATACGGATAAAGGATCAGAAAACTGGCCAACAATCCTAAAAAAGCTGTCTCTGTGTCAGAGCTTTTCAACTATTTCTGACATTCCTGGGACACTTCTGGACACAGGATGCCTGGTCCCTTACCTGCCACCCACCTTTCTCCCTGAGGTCATTCTCCAACTTCCCTCAAGTCCTTTCACCCCCTCGGTCAGGACAGTAACAAGAAACAGGACACTGAGAATATCTCAAGAATACACCAAAGTATTCTAAGGTCTTAGCTGGGAAATAGAGCTCCAGGATGGCAACACTATCAGTGAAAATGTTGAAAAATTCAGAGCTCACAGGTGCTGCCATAAAGAAAAGGCAATGGAAATGCTAATGACCTGATCTGATCAGTTTATGCTGTAAATATGTGTCAAGATACTACACAGTACCCCATAAAGATGTTTCAGTATTACATGTTAATTTTTAAAATTTAAAATAAGTTAATTAAAATGTAAAAAATTCAAATTAGCTATTTGATATCAATATAAATCAAAATGAGCCACAGAAAATTCCTTTTTTCTTTACTGAATTTATGTGAGGTATTTTATATGTCCTCACATTTAATCTGCATTCTGAAATCATCACCTTTGACTCTTTCCCCCACTAAAAAATTCACAGCTAAGATGCAGGTTTAAAAAAAAAAGATTCAAAACTAGTTTTCTTATTTCAATAGATGGGTTCTAGACATAAGAAACAGAATAAATCACACTATACTAATCACTTGAATAATTAAAGTAGATTATCACTATACCAAAGTATATTAAAAGAACATTATCAAGCCATCTGATTTATAAATATTATGTTGAACAGTCACTATTTGGGGAATTTTACCTAAAGAAACTGCTGTAATTGATCTTCTGTTGAGCCAATACTCTCTCTCCTGGGTGACATTTCACTCTAGGACTCCTGAATGAGGCCAAATGTGAATATTAATGAATCAGCCAATGGTTATAATTGAATATCTACCCTGGAGAAGCGACTGAACTTTGGAAAATATTTCCCTCTTTTGTCTTATTAATACACCTGAGTGAGGCATAAGGTTTGGTGATTAGGCAAGGGTGATGTCAGTAATAAGGAAGAGACTCAAGTGAGTTCATTAAAAGGGCTCAGCAAGGACTCAATATGCAGCCCACAGTTTAGTCCTCGAAGATCCACAGCACACCATGAACTGAAGATGGGACCAACATTTATTCCCTGACAGTACATCTCTTGGGCCATTTCATGTTCACGTGAAACAAGTATACAAATAACACCAGGCCACAAGGAAAAACTCAATAAATTTTATAGTAGTGTCACAGACACTATGTTCTATAAACAAACTGCAGTAATATTGGAATTTTTAAAAGCAGAAAAAAAATCCTATATGTCTGGAAGTTACCTCCCTGAGTTAAAAATAAGATCACAGGTCAGCATTGTGGTAAGGCAGGTTAAGACTCAGCCTGTGATGCCAGCATCCCATACAGGTGCCAGTTCAAGTCTCAGCTCTGTACTTTGGTTCCAGCTCCCTGATAACGGCCTGGGAAAGCAGCAGAAGATGGCCCTAGTCCTTGGACCCCTGCACCCACATGAGAGGCCTGGAAGAAGCCCTGGGCTCCTGGCTTTGGCCTGGCCCAGCTGCACCTATTGCAGCCATTTGGGGAGTGAATCAGCAGAAGGAAGATTCTCTCTCTCTCTCTCTCTCTCTCTCTCTCTCTGTCTCTCCTCCTAACTCTGCCTTTCAAATAAATAATAAATCTATCTTTAAAAAAATCAAAAGAGAAATTATAAAATATTTATAACTAGGCCGGCGCCGCGGCTCACTAGGCTAATCCTCCGCCTAGCGGCGCCGGCACACCGGGTTCTAGTCCCGGTCGGGGCGCCGGATTCTGTCCCGGTTGCCCCTCTTCCAGGCCAGCCCTCTGCTGTGGCCAGGGAGTGCAGTGGAGGATGGCCCAGGTGCTTGGGCCCTGCACCCCATGGGAGACCAGGAAAAGCACCTGGCTCCTGGCTCCTGGCTCCTGCCATCGGATCAGCGCGGTGTGCCGGCCGCAACGCGCCGGCCGCGGCAGCCATTGGAGGGTGAACCAACGGCAAAGGAAGACCTTTCTCTCTGTCTCTCTCTCTCACTGTCCACTCTGCCTGTCAAAAAAAAAAAAAATATTTATAACTAGATATTCATGAAAATTTTAAGTGTCAAATTTTAGGGGATCACAGCCACAGCAATATCCGGCAGGAAAGATATAGCTTTAAATAAATTTATCAGGAAAAAATTGAAATCATTAGAAAAAAGATTTGGTTAAGCAGCATCTCCCATATAAATACAAGGGAAAATGTTGTTTAGATTCAAATAGCAATACCTGTTCAAGATAGGGGATTCTCCAGTTAAACTTTGGTGAATACAATGTTTTAAACAGAGACCTGCAGCCACGGAGAGTTGTCAGTTTAACATGTCTCATACGCATTATGTTTCCAGCTAGGACGAACCCTAAGGAGCCCTTTCATGAAGTTTGTAGCCCATGCAGTTTCGTTTACAATCTTTTTGGGATTATTAGTTGTGAATGCATCGGACCGATTTGAAGGCGTTAAAACTCTACCAAATGAAACCTTTACGGACTACCCAAAACAGATCTTCAGGGTGAAAACCACACAGTTCTCCTGGACGGAAATGCTCATCATGAAGTGGGTGTTAGGTAAGCAAGTGGCTCTTTGCCCCTCCTCTCCCAGTTTCAACCATGTGTTATCACACTCTGACTTCTGGATTCGCCCTCTTGGGGGTGCTCCTGACAGGCAGAACGGTGAGTGGTGACCAATAACAAACTCAAAGTCAAATTCACGTTCTATAGGTGCTGGTGTATAAGATGTACTGAATATATTATAAATCCCAATGTTGAAAGAAAATGTTTGGGGGAATATTTGTTAGGTACTTTTCATTAAACATTACTGAAAGTGCCTGAAAAGTAGTTTTGCATGGGAAATATATCATTTTAATCATTTAAAAATAGTCTCCTGAAGCCTTAGGAAATCAAGTTCTATATCTGAAAAAGGTATAAAATTCCCCAGCTAAAAGATTGATTTTTATCACTAAATACTGCTAAATAGAATTTTGATAATGAGTACAAATCTAGAAAGTTAGGGGAAGAACATTTTCTCATTATTTGTAGATATGAACGTGCTGAAAGGTCATAAAATTCCTCTTTGTGCTGATATTCATGCTGCTGAGGCCTGCCACTGAATTGCCCAAGAAACTGTTCCCAGTGTGCTCACTGATTAGTTAAGAAAGGCTACTCCTCTTTTACCCAGTTCATAAGAATCAGTACAGTGGTAATCAGCAAAATAAATAAAACTGGCTAAAACTGAGTAGGAAAAACTGAAAACTGCAAAATTTGGCAGAAAAGGTAAGTCTCAATAGAAAAATGAAAAATTGCAAAACCTGTAATCAGTGATTTCACATATAAGCAAAACTTTCTCAGTAAGTTGTAATATTTACATCAACAAATTTTAATTTTATAGGAATATTTTGAGTAAAACCATAGCTTTTTAAAAAAACTGAAATTTTTAATTATACGATATCAAAATTTGACGAATTAATTGAATTGATTCAATGGTATTCACCCCGATTTTGAATATATATTTATATTCACTAACATTGAGTAAAAAGTATGCATGATCAAAACGACTGTGCCAGCAATCAATAAATCACAAAGAACAAATACTTGAAAAATAATATTATACATGACGTGTGCTAAGTGAAAAAGCGTAAGAGCTGAACCACTAGAGAGCATGTGATGTATGTGGACAACTGGGAGAATGGTCTCTATGCCGAATAGGCAGAGTGAAATGAGACCAATGGTTTGATCCAAAGGGCAGAGGCAAGACAGCACACCATGCCTCACAGGACTATTAGCCAACCAGCAAGCCAGCGATCCAAGCCTCATACTAGAGAGCCATGGACGGGCACTACAGTAGGGGAGGAACTATGAACACTGTTCCAGAGTGAGTTCTGTGGCCTAATTTTCTTAGTTCAGAATCTGTCTCAATTATCCCTAGGACATCCCACATGGTTTAACTAAAGTAACACTTTAACAACAGGCACATTAAAAAACAAACTCACATGTTGGATTTACAGATCAAAATTTCAAGTGTTAATGACACCAATCCCCCACCCTACCTTCCCACCTGGACCCCAGGTAGAAGACTCAGGTGACAGCAACATTGTTTACTTTGAGTAAGTGGAGCTACCCTATGTTGATGGTTCCTAGGGAACCATGACTTCATCTCAAGTCCTCAGTGTCACAGTACTATCCCAGTAAGAAGGAAGTACCTCCATCTGAAGGACCCAGACTTGTAATGCTTTGTCCCAGCTTCTAGCCATCAAAGGAGGGTTGAGTTTTCAAGACAGTTACATCAGAAATACTGTACAAGAAGGGCTTGCATCTCATTGACTTCATTCCAAAAAGTTTCAGACAGAGTCAAGAGTCTTTCTTAAAGAGAATTTTTCAAACTTTTTATTAAAAATGATTCTAAGTAAACACAAAACTCAACAGAAGAGCAGAATGAACCCCAAGGAGATATTTCTTATCTTCAAAAGCAGCAATTCATGGCCAGCCTCTGCTTCATCTGTTCTCCCCCATTTCCCTTCTCCTTAGTCTGAATTATGTGGAGGCACATGCCAAGAATCATACAACTGCATCTCTAAACATTTTTGTGCCTTTCACTAAAAGGTAAATTCTCTTTTTCCTTTTTTAATCTTTTTGCTCTGTGTGCTTCAATATTTACTGTTCTTTGTAGTGTCTGTGATTTTAATCCCAAGTAGTGAATTTTTCATTGCAGACATTACATACTTAAATCTTTGAAATTTTATTTGGTTCTCTATCTCCTATTTTCTTCTTCACAATGTTTGTATTTTCCTTTAAATCTTTGACTATATTGTATTTATGGTAACTGTTTTAAGGTCTTAACCTCCAACACCTCTGTCACTGCTGAGTCAGTTTCTATTGTCTAATATTTCTGCTGGCTATGGATCACATTCTTCTACTTCTTGACATTTCTTATTGAATGACGGGCACTTTCTATGTTATGTTGTTGATTTTGTTGTCTTCCTGAAAGAGTTTCTTGCTTTATTCTGACAGGTTGTTGCATTATTTGCAGATCTGTCTGATCCTTTTTAAGCTTTCTTACAGAGGATCTGGAGACACTTTACCGTAAGGATTATTTATCTTAGTCCTGTGATGAAATCCTGCCAGGGTCTCTACTGTCAACTCTGGATAGTCAGAGCTCAAACTGTTCAGCTTACAGCTCCCTGGCTACTGTTAGTGAAATCTCACTACATGCTCATGACTTAATAGTCAGCAAACATTCAAAAGAGCTCCAATTTAAATTTCTGGGGTCTTATTTTTGTTGTTGGTTTTGTAGTTTTTGTTTGTTTGCTTGCTTGCTTTTGCATAATATCCTCCTCTCCGGCGCTGTGCCACACAACACCTCAACATCTCCACTTTCCTGAACTCTAATCTCAACCTCTTCAACTCAGTAAGACAGCCTGACATGCTGTGGGACTGAGCTGCGCCTCCAGAGAGACAGGGTGATCATACAGCTTACCTTAGTTGTTCATCTTTTGTTGGGAATAGCAGTCCTGTGCTGAAATCCTGAAAATCCCAATTCTGAAAAGAGCTGTTTGAAATCAGGACACGTTTTCTAAAGCAGAACCAGAAAACTATTGTCACACATAAAAGAAAATTGTCTCAAATATCCAGTCAGTAATCAAATTTCTTTCATTGATAGAGGTAGGCTGAATGAATATCTACACAACTTACTTCCTTTTTACAGCCCTTTGTTCAAATTTCAGCTTATCAAAAACAGTTAAACAGGTAAAAGCATGATCTTGCCTATTGTGGCAAGACGAAAAACATTCCAGACAAAAGGAAGAGCATGTGTTAAAGCCTGGATTCGGGAGCAAGCTGGACATTTTCAAGGAACAGCAAAGAGAGCAGCATGGCTGGAACAGATGAATGAGAGGGAGAGAGGGAGAAATGAGGCCATGGGGTAGCCTCCACAGAATTTTGAGCACAAAAGCAATATCATCTTACTTCAGTTCTTAAAGGGTCACTGACTTCTGCGTAGAGAACAAATAATTATGGGACAAAGCAGAAGCAAGGAGACCAGGTTGGAGACTTCTGCAATAATTCAGACAGGAAATGACTGGTATGAAGAAGCTGTAGATGATTATATTCTGAAGGCAAAGATCAGTAATATGCACTATTAGAGTATTAGAAACAGAGCAGTCAAGGACAATATCAAGCACTGTAGCTCAAGCAATGAGAGACTATAAAGTCATTCAAGCCAGGAAAGATGCAGAAAGGAGCTCTGAAGAGGGAGTAGACATGGAAATAAAGAATTCAATTTGAGACCAATATATATTAGACATTCAAGTGGAAATGTCAAGTAGCAAATGGATATACAAATCTGAAATTCAGAGGAAAGGTTTGGGCTGAAAACATAAAAAAGTACTTTTTAAAGTTCATGAAAATGCACATTATAAAAAACTATGTATGGACTTCAAAAATTTTCTGCACCAAATAAACTTATTTTTTAATTCCATTTTTCAAAACCTTTTAGAAGGTCCCTCATAAACTTATGCATATCAGTGCATTTAAAGTAAATGATACCAGATCACCTTGACTGCAAATGTGTACAGATGAACTGATGACCAAGCCCTAGGGTACAACAATGCCTAAACTATGGGACAATAAGAAGTAACCAAAAAGGAGACCGGGCTAAGAAGGAAACCAACTGTACTGACCCAGAAACCAATCAAAGTAAATGTATCAAGAACTGGGGAGTGATCATTTGTGTAGAATGCTGTTGATGCATAAAGTGACACGGCACCTGAGACCTGCCGCTGGCTTTGGAAGTAATCTATCGGAGTGGGTACCGCAGGATGGGATCCGTGTGCAAGTAGAGGCTGTGGTTTCATCAGGAACGTGGATACTTTACCCACTGACAGTAGGGAAGGTAGAATTGAATGCCCAGGGCAGTTGGGTTTGCTACAGTGGTAGGAGTATGCAGAAGTTCTCTTTGGCAATTTCTATTTCTCATATTCTTTTTCAAAAAAATATGTTGTTGTTTTTAAGCACTATATTATATATCAAACTCTGTGGTAATACTAGGGAAGAAGCTACATATAAAACTAACTTTTTGTGTCTTAAATACCTTCTGAAGCTCTATATTATTGTTATTATAAAAATAATTATAGTCTTTGAGAGAAAGATCTGAGCACTGTGTTCATGTAGGAAAAGGCTCTTCGTGTTAACAGACGCTAGTATCCAGCATCTGATCACCTGCTCAGACACGGAGGGACAAACAGGAACACCAGACCTCTGCTTTTGGGGATGTGGAATTCTACTCCCAGATACTGGGAGGCCTGGTATCACCTAGAAACACAGCAGCTCACTCTCTTCTCCCGGACGTATTACACACAGAAGTATGCTAGACAAACTGGTTACAATAATGCCAAACCTTACTCTGTCTCAGCAGCAGCACTCTGGGGGAGAAGAGTGCCTTAGGACCCTAACAAGTTCAGCCTGCTCCTCTCAGAGGAAGCGTCTGACCAGACAGGTAAATGGCCTTGTTCTGGTCTCCCTGCCTTCCCCTTCCCACCTCTATCCTACAGCCTCCTAACACAGGAGTCAGAGTGATCCATTTCAAATGTAATTGAATCTTGTCACTCTTTCTTCAAACTGTTCCGTAAGTCCCATCTCCGTCCAGGGTATTTAAAGCAGGAGCATGGAAGCCTGAGGCCACAGGGAGACTAAGAAGATGCAGCTAGAGAGGGAAGAAAACCCAAGAGAACACGGTATCAAGGAAGCCGAGAGCAGAGCATGACTGATGAAGGAGGGTGGGTTTTCTGATGCACACACTGGTCCTACAGAGCGAGAAGTGGCTTGGAGAAGTCTAAAGGAAGCAGTGGCCATTGCTCCCTCCACCTGGTCAATCTGTGTCATCAGTTCACAGCACAGGAACCTATTTTATTATCTACACTGAAAGCAGTGACTCCAGAGTGGCTGAAGAGCTTTTTCTACTGCAGTGTGGGTCTAGAAATGTTCATCAGAGGTCTGTGCAACAGCATTAGACGTTCCCAGAGAGCAACAGAGGCTTACTGGTCAGGCAGGGGCTCCACAGTGCATGCGATTTCTCCACCTAGGAGCACAATCATTTCACAGAAGACTCTGTTCCTGTCTTACAGAAAACCTTGCAGATGCCCCAGTATTGAAAACTCAGGGGATGGCATGAGGCACAAATGCCTGACATGGTATATGAATACACTGTAAATGCTGGGTAGGATAAAAGAGCTTGGGATGGGGTTCCAGTAAACCCAGTCCTGACTGTGCCCCTTTCTCTTTGGTGGCTTTGCCTCTCTGAATTTTTGTTCACATCTGCAAAATGCTAGAAGCCAGCTCTTCCCTCACCCCAAACCACTCAAGATTTAAAAATACTTGAGGACAGAGCTGAATCTTAGCTCCAGAATCACACATTTAGGTTTAGCCAAGAGTAAAATTATAAAATCATGGGTGCTGGCTTCTAATCTAATGCATTCTTATAACGGTGTCTTCATTTATTTAGGCAAGAGTCCCAAAGAGACCACCCCAAATACTTGCCAGAGTCTCTCGCAGTTTCAAACAACACAAGTTGGTGCCCTCTTCATCACTTTTGGGGGCTGCCTAGATGCAGGGTGAGCCCGAGTCTCGTCAGCATGAACTAAAGCAGAAGCCTGTTAGCGTCCACTATGCCTTCACTAGCTCACCTGCAGACATGCCCCAACCCCACTCCTTGACCTCTGAATGATACTGAATACCTTACAACTGCCTAGAAGGGCCCCTCTCCCTCACTCCCAGGGCCACCATCTGGAACACCCTGCCAGTCCCTCCCCAATCACCTAGCTAAATCCTGCTTCCTCACCCCAAGTGTCACCTCCCCCATGAATTCACCCCTTCACTGAGTCAACAGATACACGGCACACCCAACACCCTGCTGCGTTCCATGACCACAGTGCTGACCCACTTAACTCTGTGACTCCAGGAACAGTCCCCAGCGTACTTGTCATTACACCATCGCCACCCTCTAGCACTGCTGTCCATGGACACATGTGTGTGCAGCACTAGACTGAGTTTGCTGGGAAAGTAGTCATCATCTTGGTTATTATACCCCAGAATGGCGGCTGGCACAGAAGTATAACTCAATCATCTCAATCAGGTGGGCAAGTGAGTTCCTGACCACTGGGAGTAAGCCTGTGCCTTACTGAGGACAAGGTAGGAGACAGGACAGTAGACAGCAAGGGTCCCAGACTGCTGGTGTGATTCTGAACAATTCACATTCCTCCTTCATCTATGAGTTTCTTCAACTTTAAAGTGGGGTGCATTACAGTAGCTATCGACCAGATTAATATGGACAGTGCTGAGCACAGGGCGTGGTACCTAAGGCACTCAATAATTGCTGGCTACTATAATCAGAAAAGAGGAGGAGGAAGAAGAACTTCACTATTTTTTTTAATATACTACTGTCGTGAACCTGGAATATGTCTGAGGCTAGATTTGTTCCCAAGAATCTACCACCGAGGCGGTGTTTGGATGCTAGGCCTTGTGGGGTGACAGCTTCTGGACTTGTTTTGCTTCCTGTGAATTCACAAAACATCCATGTCTTGGACCAAAGTGGAGAAGTTGGCCTGGGGAAACAAAGAGGCAGATGTAGGGGCCGGGGACAGTGTGCAGGAAGCCCCAGGGGCCATGATCATTTACGGGATACACATTTAAGTTTCACAAGACTCTGAAGAGGAGCCCTGCTCAATATCCCTGGGTCAGGAACGGGGAGAGCTGCACTCTGGGCCATCAGGCTCCATCTCCACAGCCTGTAGGCCATCACTCAGAGCCTGCCTACATCAAGCTACTCATTGCCCTTGAGGGTCCCTGGAACTTTCCAAACTGTGCCTGTGCCAGGCCCCCTCCTTAATTATCAGTGACCTTGTTCTCGGAGCTCCAAGAATCCCTGACAGAAGGAAATCTTGCCTGAAGGAGGCTCAAATGTCCAGCATCTTCAACCCCTGGGCCCCTGGGCTCTAAACACGTGTCTGATTGACACACTAGAGGCAAAAGGCCGTGGAGCTCAGCTTGGATACAAAATGCTGAGCTAACCTTAGCACCTTAGAAGCAAGGGGCCTAATTTCACTCGCTAAAGTACTTAATTTCACACATTTCTTTTTTCATTAAGCATTCCTGCTGCTCAAACCCTTGGGCCCTTGTTATTTTACTTATGGCCATGGACTAATTTAAATTAGCCTGGGAGAGTTCACATTTAAATCAAGGAAGACTGATGCAGGCATTTGACCGTGGAGGAAGAGATTTGCAATGCCCAAGGAGATGCTACTGTATCTGTCAGGAAAGTTAGTTTTCTGTAAATAATTTGCATTTCAGATTCATGGAGCTTTCAGTGTTTGAAGTTACCCTAAAACCTCAATTCACTCCATGAGTATAAACTCCAAGGTCCACCAAAAAGCAAGAGACTTATCCAAAGTCACACAGCCAGTAATAAGTGGCCAAGCCAGAACTTGAACCCAGGGTTTCCCAAAATAAAGCCAATCACCTAAATGACAGCCTGTGGTTCTCTAATGCCAGCTAAAAGCAGTCCCACTAAGCCATTAGGAATTTTAATTTGGCAGCAGAGGAAAGCAACAAACATTTCTTCTGGCCTGAAATGGTTTTTCTAATAACACTTTTAAAATGCCTATCTGAATAGGCACAGATGAAAGTAGATTTCAGAAGTAAGAAAACTATTACTTCATCGAATTATCACACAAATTTTGATAGGGCATGCTTAAGAAAGGGCTCCATTACAAAAAAAGACTGGGGGTAGGGTGTGGTTGGAGCATCTTTCAAACAAACCTGCAATGTTATTGGTATTTCCAACTATGGGGACTGCAATTTGATAGAGACATGCTGATCTTCATCAGACAAAACCATGACACTTGTCTCAACAGCTGCTCTGAAATTACCTTTCTCCTTAGAAAAACATTTTGATTCCTTTCATTTGCTGGGCCATTTTCACCAGAAAAGGAAAAAGTCTGATGCAAACAGTCCCTGGACAGAGGCCCAGCTCACCAAACAGATGTGCCCAGATGTGGGTCTGTGACCAAGCAGGCCATGCTATGGCCAGAACAGAGAGCCCCCATGACTGCCTGTCTATCCCCAGTGTCATCTGTGACTCCAGGCTTTGTCAGCACCTGGGCCCTCCAAGGCTACTGCTTGATAATATGAGCATTTGTCAAGATGCTTGGGTTTGAGGACTGTGGCAAAGGAAGCACGTAACATACACAAATGGTTTAGGCATAGACCTGTCTGCGGGAGTACGGGCTGTATGGAGACAGTGAAGATCACAAGGTTTGACAGCTTGGCTTGGGAGTCTGTTCTGTATCTGGGGGTTACGAGGAAGACACTGCAAGTGTCTGAAGAGGGAAGTGACCACGATACGACCTGTACTTTCTAAGTGACGAGAATGGAACAGAAAACTGAAAAGTCAAGATGTATCTGGGCGTATACTAGAATGAATCGGCAGAACTGTGACGATCCCTGGTAGCAGCTGCAGGAGTCAGGAGTACAAGAGAAGGTAGCAGGAGGCGGTGGTGGGACAAAGTGGGAGTGAGAGGGAGGCGAAGGCCAGTCTGCCATATGTGTACTTCCGACACTGGCAAAACACCACTACCAGCAGTCTCTTTGCATGGCGGGAATTCAGCTTTGAAGCAATTAAGAAAAATAGGATACTCATCCATGAGACACAATTTCAGAGTTGTATGCATTTACTCAAGGTCATAAGGAAGAATGATAATGGCCACACACCTGGGAACCAGCAGCCTTGAAGACTGGGCAGCAGAAGATGGAACAGGTTGGGGGCAGCTGGGCAGGCCGACCATCAGGTCTGAGGCCCAGGGCAAGGAAGGGCCTGGAGAGGTTAGCGGGGTAGCCTTCTGGACACCGTCAGTGAGCCGGAACTGCTTCACTCACTCATCAGCCAGTACTTCTTCCCCCACATTAACCCCCTCGAAACACACAGGCTAAGCGTTACCCCGGTTCTGCATCAAATCTTCCCCAGCTCAGAGTAGCTGCAGGGCCCCCGAGGCCTTTTACAAACTGTGCAAGAGTCTTTTCTGCACATTAACTGCTTTGAACCCAATTTTATTTCCTGGAGAGCCAGAAGAACACAGTGATCAAGAGCACAGACTCTAGGGCCAGACATTTTGGATTCCAATTCCGGGTCTGCGGCTTCCCAGCTGGGCACATTACCGCCCTCTGAGCTTCCGCTTCGTTATCTGTAAAGCTGGGATAATCACAGGATTTCTTCCTGGAGCTCTTGCAAAGATTTAAAGGAGTTAACACAAGAGGGTACTTCAAAAATTCTGCAGAATATCTGAATTAAAAGATACTTTTTAATACCAAGATGTTATGAAATCCATGCACAGTTTTTCATAAGATGTATTTTCTATGAATATTTCTGAAGATACCTCATATGCACAAGTTTCAATTTATGGACCAAAACAGACTTACCTTTTCATTATATTTTCCATAAACTTTTGAAGTATATATACATAAATATGCCTACAGAGACATATATAGAAAGCACTAAGTAGGTGCTAGCACTTAGTAGGTGTCCAAACTAACTCTATGGCTAAGTTTAATAATTTGAGTCAATTTAACTTTATTAATATAAAGGTAAAAATCAGCACTATTCAATAAAAATATACTGCAAGCCACTGCTGCGAGCCACATAGTATGTTAAATTTTCTAAAGCCACATTATAAAAACAAACAGATGAGATCAGTCATACATCCCATCTAACCTACCCAAAACAGTATCACTGCAACACGTAACTGATGTAAAGCATTCCGATATTTGATATTTGCCACAGAAAATCTGGTGTGCACTGCACACTCCTCACGCATCTCAACCGCTCGGTGTGCACACTCGGCCGCCATCCTGGACAGTGCAGGTCTAGACGGACACGCAGCTCACAGAGCTGCCTGGAGGCACAGTGACATCCTGTCCGTGTACCTCTACAGATTTACTATGTCACAACGAAGACAGACGCCCTTAAAACCCGACAGACGTCAAAGGAGTAAGAAAAGAACCTAACAGCCCCGAACTGACGCTCACGGGCACAGTGAGAGAGAGCAGCGCCTCATTCAGGAGCTAGGGGAGCCGGGATCTTCGCAGAGCAACCTTGAAAGCCCTTTCCCGTGAGCGGCCTCCATCTTCCTCTAGTTAACTCCCAACTGAATGATTCCTTAAGACCTGCCAGTTTTAAAAATGTTGAAACCCACGCATACGAGGAGTCTTCCAACAACGTTCTCGGAAAATCCGTATTAAAAAAAAAAAAAGCAATGCATAGATTTCAAATTTTCTGCACCAAAGTAAACTTATCTTTTAATTCCATTTTCCCATGAGCCTTCTAATGTAGCCTCCCACGCCTCCAAGCACCGAGCGACGGGTGCGAGGGCGTCCTCCTCTCCGGGAGGACTCTGTCCCCGGCTTGTGTCCGAGCCCTCTGGGGCTCACGAGCGTCACGACCCCCACCCCAGAGCCCGGCCTTCTCCCCCGCCCGCAGGAATGATCTGGTCCGAGTGCAAGGAGATCTGGGAGGAGGGCCCGCGGGAGTACGTGCTGCACCTGTGGAACCTGCTGGACTTCGGGATGCTGTCCATCTTCGTGGCCTCCTTCACCGCGCGCTTCATGGCCTTCCTCAAGGCCAGCGAGGCCCAGCTGTACGTGGACCAGCACGTGCCGGACGACACGCTGCACAACGTCTCGCTTCCGCCGGAAGTGGCCTACTTCACCTACGGTGAGTCGGAGGGGCCGCTCGCTCCCGTTCTGCCCCGCGCGCTGCCGGGACCTGGGGCTGCGGTCCCGGATGTGTCACGGGGCTGGCTTCCGTGGGCCCCCCTTGCCCCTCAAAATCCCTGGTCCCCTGCAGTGCAGCCAGCTTAACGGAACACGAGTTAGTAACGGGGAGTCTGCGCTGGGAGTATTTCTGTCGAGTTTGATTACTCACCTTTTGGGGTTTCTGTAAATTATTTAAGCTTTATTTTAGAGGGCGGAGAGAGAGTGCCCAGCTGCTGGATCTCGGTGGCCAGAGCTGGACTGGCCATAGCCAGATGCGGGGAACTCAATCTGCTTGAGCAGCAGAGGGTCTCCGATAGCGGGCTTTCATGGCAGGGCTCACACTGCCCCCAGGAATTCGAGTTTGCCTTGTGTAGCAAAGACACCTGGTCTGGCTGGCACGAATGGAAAAATCATGCCCAGTGGCCCAGCGTCGGTGTGCAGGCTTTGAAATCAGCTTGTTGTGCAACCTTGTCTTGCTTCACTTTTCTGAGCCTCCATTTGCTCGTGTAAAAACGAGGATAATAATACCCATGCCACAAAATTTGAGTAACAGATGGAAGAGGTTTGCACTATGCTCTGAAAATGCGGAGTGCTCACTAAGCGCTAACAGTTATCATTAGTACCTTTTCATTTTCTTAAACACCGTAATTTCTGTGCTGAGAGAGAAAGGTGAGCGGGTGAAGGAACAGTAGGTATGGGTTGTGTTGTAAATAGTAGCTGGATACTTAGTACTGAGTGAGTGCCAAATCTCCCTATTGCATGAAGCTGGATAGCCGTTGTGGCCACAGATTCCCTTCTGTCAGCTCCAACAGTGGTTTGTAGAGAGCTGGCCACTTCATGCAATAGTTGAACTGCTGCTCACTTTTTTTTTTTTTTTTTTTTTTTGACAGGCAGAGTGGACAGTGAGAGAGACAGAGAGAAAGGTCTTCCTTTGCCGTTGGTTCACCCTCCAATGGCCGCCACGGCTGGCACACTGCAGCCAGCGCACCGCGCTGATCCGATGGCAGGAGCCAGGTACTTATCCTGGTCTCCCATGGGGTGCAGGGCCCAAGGGCTTGGGCCATCCTCCACTGCACTCCCTGGCCACGGCAGAGAGCTGGCCTGAAAGAGGGGCAACCGGGACAGAATCCGGCGCCCCGACGGGGACTAGAACCCGGTGTGCCGGCGCCGCTAGGTGGAGGATTCGCCTATTGAGCCGCGGTACCGGCCTGCTCACTTTCAATGTAGATTATGCTTCCTGTAAATGTGGTGGAAAACCCCCAGCGAGAAACGCAGAGTCTTGTAGTATTACAGACCCACCTCCCACCCCGCACTGTTTGTTGGTTTAGCAAATCCAGAATTTCTTACAGCAAAACAGGCTTGTGTCCTCTCTGTGCTGCACAGGGTTCATGGAGGAAGATGAGAATCTTGATACTGCATGACAAACCTGTGACAGACGCGATTCCAGCTGCAGTGTTATCAGCAGGGACTTCTATTCCTTTGTGAATTGCGTTCCTCACCCCATCCAAAGCAGACCACGCTATCGCCCTTGGTTTTGTGGTTCACCCCGTGCCCTTGGAAATGTGGCGTCTCTCAGTAGTCACTTGGGCTCCAGTCGTGGAGGAAGAGCGCCCTCTTGTGGTCAGCTGGGCAGTCGCTGTCCAACCGCCACAGGATGCCAGTGTTTCATATTCTAAAAGGCACTTTTTCTCTTGCAAACAGCTCCAAGAAGAGAATCTCTGTCTGAATCAGCACAGTGCTGTTTGCTTTACCCATCACAATACCAACCAGAATATCCAAGCAAAATATTTTTCACAGAGAGTGTTTCCCTGGTCACCGACACCTGCCAACAGCTAAACCTATCTTAATAGATTGTAGCAGCGGCTTTTATGATTATAACTAAGGTTCAGATAAGGAATTATAGGCATCAGAAAAAAGTAATTCCTCTTTGGTGTCTGTTTACTTGAGGAAGCCATCTCCTACTTCCTGTGTCCCAAATCTGCTGTTTATCCATAGAGTGACAGATAGACTGGAAATCACATCATTTTTTCTCCTGGGTTGTCTTTCATGGGCTTCAAAGTTACGACCTTGATGAGAACAAAGAGTAGGTCATGTTACTGTATTTTCAAATGTAACTGGGAATGCACTACATGAAACTTTGTGGCCTGGCTTTTCTTATCAAGCGTCTCTTACTGCTCTTGAATACGATAACCGTTTAACAGAGTCTAGCTTTGAAAATAAAGAATAAAATTCTTTTCCTCCAGCTCCCTTGGGGTGCCAAGAATTGCCATGTAATATCCTTGCGATCTGCATTTGCTGGGCTCTGAAAGGGACCCCATACCCCAAATCCAATCTTAAAGATGGCAACAATAATGCCCACTCCGCAGGGCTGTTGTGAAAATCGCTGCTAATGTAAGCGTAAGGGCTAATTTAGGTTTCTCAATGTTTCGCAATTGAAGCTTCACTTAGTGTTTCTCCCCAGGGACACCACTGGCTTTTCCAGTAGGGCAGTTGTCCTCTGCAGGGCTGTCTGGGGCATCCCAGGACATGAGCATCCCAATGATGCTCCTGCCCCGTTGCTGTGACAACCACACACTTCCCCAGGAGGGTAGCTCCGCCCTTTCTTGGGAACTGTTACATGTCCTGACTCACAGTGGATGATGGACTTGAGGTAGACGCTGTTCCTTGTCCTGTTAGAACAGCAGTAGGGGCCGGTGCCGCAGCTCACTAGGCTAATCCTCCACCTGCAGCACCAGCACCCCAGGGTTCTAGTCCCAATCGGGGCGCCAGATTCTGTCCTGGTTGCCCCTCTTCCAGGCCAGCTCTCTGCTGTGGCCCGGGAGGGCAGTGGAGGATGGCCCAGGTCCTTGGGCCCTGCCCCTGTATGGGAGACCAGGAGGAAGCACCTGGCAGCGCGCAAGCCATAGCAGCCACTTAGGGGATGAACCAATGGAAAGAAGACCTTTCTCCCTGTCTCTCTCTCGCACTAACTCTGCCTATCAAAAAAAAAAAAAAAAAAAAAAAAAAAAAGAACAGCAGTAGGAACTTTGGGCAGGTTTGCTCAGCGGCAGGAATACCCACAGGGCAGCTGAGACCCTTGTGGTCACCAGTGACAGCAGCAGAGTCCCCCGGCTCAGAACGGGTTCCTGGACTCCTGTGCACAGGGATCAGCGCTCTCGTGGCTGCCCCGCCTGCCTGGTCACCACTCTGGAGGCCTTGCCACAGCTGGGGAGCAAGCTTCTCAGCACTCAGCAGCTCAGGAACGAGCCCCCGAGGACTTTCCCAGGTCAGGTCCTGCAGACTCCCGGTCCCCACGTGAGCGCCTGTGCTCTGCTTGTGGCTCATCTAACCCTGTGATTAAAAGCTCGTGCAGTTGTTTAACAAGGAGTGTCTGCCGTGTGTGCCAGACCCGATGCTTGTACCAAGTGGTTGATGATATTGTCCCCACTTCACAGGTGATGAAATGGGGCTCAAGCAGTGAGCTGACTACCTCAGTCACAGAGTCAGTGTATACAAAAGCCACTTTCAACCTCAGTCTGCCTGTCCCCGCACCCAGGCTCTTGGCTGCCACCTCCTGGGGCTGTGGACAGCACCTGAGTGTGGAGCTGGAACACTGGGGAGGGGGACAGGACAGGTCCATGACAGGTGTGCACAGGATACCCTGGGAACATGGTGGGTAGAGACAGGGAACCTGCCCAGGTATGGGAGGTGCGGACAGCACCTGAAACAGGTGACGCCCGAGCAAGGAGCACTTAGGAAGGACCCAGATGGGAGGAAAGGACATTCCCTCCCACACTCCGAGCATGGGTGGCACCATGCAGGTCCTGGGGTCATTTAAGAACAAGGGCAGGTGTGGCCAGTGACGCATTTGACACTTCTAAAGGGCAGATCCCACCCTCAGTGAGGAACCGGCTGTTTTCTTTTAGCCAGGGACAAGTGGTGGCCTTCTGACCCTCAGATCATATCGGAAGGGCTGTACGCCATAGCCGTCGTGCTGAGCTTCTCCCGCATCGCCTACATCCTGCCAGCCAACGAGAGCTTTGGGCCCCTGCAGATCTCCCTGGGGAGAACGGTGAAGGATATCTTCAAGTTCATGGTCATTTTCATCATGGTGTTTGTGGCCTTCATGATTGGGATGTTCAACCTGTACTCCTACTACCGAGGTGCAAAGTACAACCCAGCGTTCACAACGTGAGTAACCCAGGCCTCCACCCTGAGGGTCTCTGGGCTTCCTTGGTGGGGCGGGGTGTGGAGGGGTCTCGTGCAGGTGGCCTCTTGCATAAGTTTTGTTTTGTTTTGTTTTGTTTTTTTTATACTTTTTTTTTAATCTTTTATTTAATGAATATAAATTTCCAAAGTACGACTCATGTGTTACAATGGCTTCCCCCCCCATACCGTCCCTCCCACCCACAACCCTCCCCTTTCCCACTCCCTCTCCCCTTCCATTCACATCAAGATTCATTTTCGATTATCTTAATATACAGAAGATCAGCTTAGTATACCTTAAGTAAGTATTTCATAAGTTTTGATTTCCTTGGTGCTTCTCAGGGCGGCTCAGAGTCTAGGCTCTCGAATGGAAGGGTGGAAGACCTGAGTTAAATCCTCATGGGGGCACCATAATGGCAGGGAGCCATGGCAACAGGTCATTCCCACGGGAAACTCTGAACACATGCAAGGAATTATTATGCTAATTACTCTTGCCTTTACCTGTATCACCTGGAAAACAGAACCCCGGGGGAGACTGTCATGCCAGCACCACCGGGGAGCTGCAAGCCCAGAGAAATCAGACTGAATGGAAACAGAAAGCGAAGACTGGGGTGGGGGGCGGGCAGGCACAAGGTGCCGCTGCCCTGGCTGCTGTCTGCCAGAACGCACAGCCCAGGCAGGAAGGAGTCTCCCAGGGGCCAGAGGATGCAGGGTGGGAGTGTGGGAGGGGTCACAGCTCAGAGCCTCCCACAGGGCAAGAGAGAATTTATGTGCCAGATCTTTCCTGGCCACTGTCTCAGGAGCCGGATGCATCCAGGTCGCTGACTCCCCTGCACCTCCAGAGCAGCCCTGGGGAAGCCACAGCCACGCGGCATGGGGGGAGGGGGTCTGCGCGAGAGCAGATGAGCAGCCTGTGCCCCGGGAGCTTTGCAGCATCACCTGCCTCCAGGGCAGGAGGGAGGCCCAGGCTGAGGCACTGAGCCTGGCCCAGGGGAGCTGCGGCAGGGATTCCAGCCAGTGAAGCAGGCACAGGAACACGGTGAGGCTCACGGAACCTACCTTCACAAGGACTCAGCGCCCCTCCCTAGGGGGCAGCGGGGTGCCAGGCGGTCTCCTGGAGGGCCACCAGTGGCACTGAGAAGGGTCTGGTGCGAGGTCTGGCAGGCCTGAATGTCCACCCGGACACAGGCATTTATGGGCTGATGGCCTCGAGCAGGCCGCCTGACTCATCCGAGCCCCTGGGTCTCTCCTCTAACGTGGAAAGACTTCCCACCTTACCCACACGTACCCCCACGGGCAGAAACATGACGTGCCTGCACACTGAGGTTTCCCCTCTATGTCTCCTGGTCCTCACCACGCTCCTGCCCAGAGTCTTTAGAGTAGGAGAGTTGGGCGTCCAGCCCCAGCATGGAACCCCCTGGGCTGGGCATTTCCTGGCATGTGTGCCGGCATGCCCCAAGAGGCCAGGAAGTCACATCTCCCAGCCAGTGGAAGGAGCTCCAAGCCTCAGCCATGCAGGCCCCCTTGGGAGCACAGCCTTGCCCCGCCCTGCGTCTGCAGAGATCACCTTTGAGGGGAGACATTTGTATCTGAGAACAAACCACCATGAGCTCTGGGCCTCTCCCCTCAGGACCGGGGACTGGGTGGCCTCACCCAGCTGGAGCTACCTAGAAGGTCCCGCCCAGAAGGCTGCGTCTCCTGGCAGAGCTCAGCCACGGAAGCTGCTTCTCTCTGTGGCAGAGAAGATGGTGCCCCCATCCCAAAGGTGCTAGCGCCGCCCCCGGCCCACAGGCTGCGCTGGAGGCTGAGCGCCACATGGATCGCACAGCCTAGGCAGATGGCCTGGAGCAATGGCTTCAAACCTCCCCCCCCCCACCCCAGCTTCCCTAGGTCTGAGATGAGAACACGGACTGACAAGGCCAGCCTCACAGGAGCCAGTGAGGAGGAGGGTCAGATATGGTGCCTGGCACTGAATAAGCCTTCAGCAGGCGGAAGTGGGGCTCATGGAGCTGGGGGCTGACTGCAGGCAGACACTGGGGTATTGACTCACCCCTGTGGGTCCCTTCCTGGGAAGAGGCCGGCAGGGCTGACAAACTGCACCAGCTAGCGCCAAGCCCGTTACTACTGAGTCTGCTGGACACTTTATATCACCCCAACTCTCCATGAGTAACTGTTGACAGACTGGAATAAAGAAGCTCCAATCGCCCAAAAGTAAATTTGCTGTCAGTAGAGCAGAGGCAGAGCTCGAAGTGCCCACTCAGCATGGGACTGAGCATGGTTACCCAACAAGGGAAGATGCCAGTCCTCCGCCTCCAGTGCCAGTGCCCCTGCCTGTGTCTGCTCCAGCACAGGGCCTCGCCCAGTGTTTGCCTGCTACATGCTTCATGAACACGCAGGACAAAGGAAGCCAGGTCCAACGCAGAGGGGAAAGCCGTGGACGGCGCGTCTGACAACGTGGACTCGGGGTCCTTCTCCACACCCGGACTGTTCTGGGCAGCCCCCACGGCCTGCAGAGTGCCCAGCCCACAGTCCCGCGGGGGGGAACGCAGACTTAGATTAGCACTTCCTGGCCACACAATTCTCAGTGACCTGCGGCACAGATGGTCTAAACAGGGAGTAAGTGGGTGGCCCAGGCTGGGGTCTTTGGGAACAAGTAAGGTCACAGGGACAGGTGAGATCAGGAGAAAGGCAGAGCAGTCAGCTTGTCCCGTAGGCCAGCGGGCAGATGAAGACTGTGTAGGCAGGAGGGACCCAGGCCGTCCAGGAGGGGGAAGAGGCGGGGAAGCCGGCAGGCAGCAGGTGCAATGAATGCCGCACAGGGTCTCCTTCCCCCCCCCCCCCCCGCCCCGCCCAGTGCCTGACATGGGATGTGTAGGTGTAAATAGGATCTGATTGAACACAGAAAGTCAATAGAGCAGCGAAGCAGAGAGAGGAAAAAACGGCTTTTTGTAAATGCTATCTTTGACCTTTGGACTGCTCTCTGGAGTGTGTCAGCCCCCAGAGCTCCCCAGCCACATAAAAGCCTTAGGAGGCATGCTGAGTGCAGCCACGCCGTAACGAAGTCAAAGGCCCCTCAGGTGCCTGTCTGCCACCCAGCAGCACACGCCCAGGCTGCCCTCCCTTCGAGGGTCACACGGGGCTGCTCTCAGGAGCCAGCCCACAACAGCCAGTCCACCTGAGTCTCGCCAAGTTGCAGTTTCTGTCCCAGTAGGGAACTGGGGATGGGGCGGGGCGGGGCAGGGGAGACACTTTAGAACAAAAGTAAAGAGGAAGAGCAGAAAGGTTTCTCTATCATCAGCAACCCCAACCCTCAACCAAGCCCTCCCTAATGCTGGGTGGGCGCCAGTTCCAGAATCACATTCCTCCCTCCCCATCCCCAGGTAGCCTTTTCCTGCGTTCAGCAAACCTCAGAGAAGAGGCTAGAAAGAAATCAATGACGTCAGCTTCATCAGCCCAAGGAGTGGACAAACACACAGAACGAGCAGCCTTAGCGAAAAGCAGTGGTTTCAAACCACATGTGGCGGTAGAGTCACCAGAAGTGTGGCTACACTGGGGACTCCCCAAGCCCCACCCCTTAGAGTGTCCCGGGGTAGAGCTTAGACAGCTGCTTTAAAAAGCCACTGGGAGATGTTGACACCTGTACTCTCATAGGGTAAGAAACACAGATCTTGTCCAATCTCTCATTCCCCTACTGGGGAGACAGAAGCCACTCTCAGCTCTGTGTATTTCAAAAGCAAGGAGCCTGTTAACCTCAGCAGTCTCTTAATGGCAGATTGCTGGTCCTGTGCAGGCCGGACTTTTTAAGCACAAGTTATTACAGACAGCCTGATGTAGCAGGAATGAGGCCTGGAGTCAGCCCATAAGCGTCCCTGGTTTTCAGAGTCCTTCCACTTCGGAAGCAAGGATGCTCATGGTTGCACAGCCACTCCTGTGTCGGGTTTGGTCTAAAGGGGAGGAGCAGGTTGCATGCGTGAGTGCCTGGCTGGTGAGCCGGGGCTGTCCGGGTGTGACAGACAGCACACTTGCTGGCAGCTCATCAACTCCAAGCCACTTCCGTTAGAAACTGCAGATGAGCTAGGGGGATGAAGAGAAAGTGTCAGGATCAGCTTTATGGCCCCAGAGTAGGAAATCAGAGTATCCCAAACATGAATGAGGAAGCAGGAGGAGGACGCCCTCCTCCAAGGACACACTTGCTGTGAGGAATTCTCTCACTGGGAGCACCTCTTTGATTACATCATGGAAGTTGCTAGACAACTAGGCGTTGCATTTGGATACTTGTTTTATAGCTAACTTTGCTGAAATACCCATAGTCCAAAGAGCAAGGGGTCTCTGACTGGGGATTGCATAAAAGTCCTGGGGTCCCAGCACTGTGGTTACAGTGTTAGAAACACCGGGTCCCTAGCCCACAGGTGAAGTACAGTGTCATAGGACTTGGGAGTGAAAAGCTCCCTGCCTTACACTCTGGTAGGTGACCACGGCTGGATGGGTATCCAGAGACGAAGGGGGCGGGGGCAGGGGTCAACAACTTGACCCAGGGCAGAGGAAAGTGGAGGGCCCTGTACCATGGCACACCAAAGGCCCTTGGTTTCCCGTGTGCGTGAGCACAGCCTCCCGCATTTAATTCTGATGGGAGATGAAGTGTGGGCTGTGTCCGCCAAAAGTGGAGCCCCGCTGATCTTTCCTGCAGGCCACTGTGGTATGAGCATCATCAGGCAGCTGGGTTGAGACCTCTCCAAGCAAAAGTAATACCTCTCTTAAGGTTGTACTGTCTCCCCAGGAATGCTTTCACTGGAAGGAGCTTCCGCAGTGCTGGGCAAAATTAGAAGCTTCTATTCTCTGTGATACTTACGGAAAATTCCCACACTCTATAAGGCAGGCAGGGATTCCTGTGCCTACCAGGAGCAAGAGGCACTGGGTGGGCCCCCACCCTGCTTGTCTGGGTCATGGGAAAGCCAGCTTCTCTCTCCTGCAATCCTGGAGAGGCA